GTTGTAGGTTGAATAAATACATAGCCCTCTCTTCCATCTCCTACCTCTACTCCATGGCCCCAAAACCATGTCTGTGTGCAATACCTACTTAGGACAATCCAAGCGAAGGACAGCAAGGAATTCTGGAGAATAGTTTCTGGTGCTCTTCAAGACAGTAGCAACCAAACAACTACCACCATCCCCAATTCCAGCTGGTTGAACCATTACTCTGCAATATTTACAGAGCCAACAAAACCATTAGCCACACAAAATAGGCCCAGCTGCATACATGTTCCTGACTAGACCCCAATGGAACTGGACGAAATACTATTATTAATCAAGAATCTAAAACCAAATAAATACCCAAGACCAGACAGAATACCTGGGGAACTCTTCAAGCACAATCCAGACTAGTGGGCCCTTCTTCTAGCCAACGTATTTACATTAATTGACAAATTCAGAATACTACCAGATGTCTGCTAAACTCCATCATTACCCCATATTCAAAAATGGTGACCTGAAGCTGCCTGAAAATTACTTTCCAATAAGTCTTCTATCAGTCCTTGGCAAGATGTATGCCTGACACTTGGGGGGAAAAGGATTGAAGGACTTCCAAAAAGATCCTTGGACCCAAACAAATAGGATTCTGCCAAGGCAAATCTACCACCGATCACTGCACTGCCCTTTCACATCTAGTGGAAAAATACTGTGTACAATATATCTAGCATACTAAATAGAGGAAAGAGTCATTCCCATAACTCGGCCCACTTTTGATTCTGTTACTGCCTGTTTCTGGAATGTGGACATTGGCAGATGTTGACTAAGGTAATCTGGACCATCACCAGAAAAAAATAAAAATCTCCCAACATAAAGAATGAATGACCCAAGGCGACCCACTGAGCTTTTTATATTATTAGTGGCCATACCAGAAAAAGAAGAAAAATCACTTCTCCTCACAATATCTACCAGCAGGAGAATTCTTGCTACTAAGAATTCTTTACTTCCCCTACGCCCACCCCTTGCCTTTAGCAGGTTGTAATCAGAAAGACAAGCCAATACTGAACGGTATAATTTTGAGCCACTAGAATGTCTGAGAGGTTTATTTTCAACGGTACTTTGAATTAGATCAATCACAGCAGTGCTGTGGTAATTTTAGAATTGGTACCATGGCATTTCCACTTTACCAGCACTTTGCCTTCCTGTTTGAAAGATATACAGAATAGCCTAATTGGCTTCTTGAGATCCTGGTTCTTGTGAATCACAAAAGAAATCTCCATGACTGCAAGGTAAGCACACTCAGCTTCTTGATTTTAAATTCCAATTCTGAAGAAAAATACTATTCCTTATTTTTTTTTCTAAAAAACAAAACAAAATTGGCTTATTTATTTAGATTTTTTAAAAAATCTCAGACAATCACCAAATTCCAGCCAGAAATTTGTACTTTTCAAAATTATGTTTATGTTGAATCGATATGTAGATTTTTTTATAAAACAAAAACCCCACTAAGTATTTTTCATTACAATTCCGTATGCAGCATGAGAACAAAGGGGCTCAGAAATTGATATGTGGTGACTCTAAGTGGGTTTTTATGTGTTCCGTTCACTGTATTTTAAGCAAGTGTCACATTCATTATGTCTAGCTAAGCTCCTTTAAGCAGCTGACCTTTGTGCCACTGGTCTCACAGAGTACTGAAGCAATATCAGAAACTGAGTGTGTGAATTCAGCAGGCCACTACCCCTGGGAAGAGGATTTCAGTCCAGTCAACACTGCTGCCAGCCCTCCTGAAATGCCCCTTTCCCAGAGTTCTGGTGGCTCTCAGCAGCCTATATTTTGTGGGACTGTAGCCCTATGTAAGAATTCTGGCTCTTGAAAGGGGAACATTTTGTGGAATTGCTGCCCATTTGACTTTTCATAAAGTACAAGGAACTATACACTAGTAGCTGACTCCATATTTAAATGAGTGCATTGCCCTCAATCAACATGCTGACCCTTGATCTCACATGAAATTCCCTCCCCAGCAAAATGGGACTTTTCATATCTAATCCACTATTTGTTGACGTTTATTATAACTAACCCCATTCTCATCTTTTGGCTGAGATGGATTTAAAGGGAGGTTTAAACCACAGTTTAGACTATTGGGTAGGGTTTATATTGTAGCCTCTGTCATGCTCCCATTGCTTTTCGATTGAGATGAAGGGGTCTGTGGGATTCTGGAGAAGTATTTTGTATATTGTGGGTGCCATCCCCCTGCCACCTCTCCCCACCTCTCTTCTCCCCCAACCTGATACTGTATACAACATTAAAGTCTCACAGCAAATGATCTGTAGAAAGGACCTTATGATCTGAAAATAAAGACGATATATGTACTTTTGTAACCCAAGTAAATATTCATTTTTTTAAAGGAACTAACCCCATCCCCTCAGAGTTGGAATGTCCATGAACATTCTGTGACATCCTAGCAGCTAAAAGGAGTATAAATGGGAACTAATTTACAGCTGCAACTCAGGAGACACTTACTAAGTCCTGTTGAACTCAGCGGTTCCTACTTCTGAGTGCACATGAATAGGTTTGCACTGTTAGCCTATTATATATTTAGGACTTACAAGGAAGAATAGGTAGCAATGACTAATGCTTTCAGTACATATCTAGTAACTTATATATTAAGCAACATAACCTGTTGAGATTACATTGCACTTTTTACATACATCAAACAGGATCAGATATATGTAACTCATGTTTTGAGAGAAACAGAATGTTCAAACCTATCCATCTAACAATACCCCCCATATTAAAATTGAACATGATGATTTCTGGATTTTTACAAGGATAATTCACAGGGAGGTTCTGCCAGTTGTTACTATCAAATTTTCAGTCAGTGCTGCCTTCAAAATTTAAGAACAAGGGGGACTCTCTCTCTCTCTCTCTCTCTCTCTCTCTCTGTGTGTGTGTGTGTGTGTGTGTGTGTGTGTGTGTGTGTGTGTGAGAGAGTGAGATTTCCAAAAGCTTAATTGGCATATTTTAAAGAAGAAAATGTGTCTTTGGAAAGATAAATAATATTTAGCAGCTATTGAAACTATTTCATGGGGAGGAAATCTAGAAATAAAAAATATAGCGTGGAGTATGTGAGTTATTGAACATTCTCAAGGCAATTAAAATTTAAAGCGGTAAGGGGAATTTGAATGCAATATCTATGAAATATATAATGCCTTCCATTTCAAGAGGTTTTTTGATTGGTTTGACATTATAGTATTGTTTGAAATAGGGCTCTTACCATGGAATAGAAATGCCGTGAATTGGAGAGAAAGGTTGTATAATTTATAAACTCTACTTAATAAAGCATATGTTAAGTACAGCTCTGTGTAGAAGAGTCCTTTAAGGTTATTTATAGCTTGATTTATTATATTAGAGTTCTTCTTAATAATAGAGTTATCTTACCTTTGTAATTGGGTCCATCAGTTAAGATTAGAGAGGATGTTTTACGTGTCTGAGAGACGGTGGTGAGACAGCTATGAATCTGACTAGCAAATAGCAGGGTGGGATAGAAATCAATAAAGTTGAGTTCCAATTCTTTAAAACATGAATGATCTGTAACACAAATTATATGAGATCCAAGTCTCGTATTCTTTCCAAGATGGATGCATAAGCGGCTTGACCAAAGCATAGCTCCTCATTCAGTTGAATGACAGTTACTTAACAGCTGTTGGTTGCTTGTTATTGCTTTTATTCAGACATTTTTAATTAGCCTTTCTACATACTCCCCCCCCCCTTCTATTTCCACTTAGAAATGCTTCCAAGGGTAGTTTACATAGACAAGCACAGGTGGGTGTTAATAATCTTACTATGACGTGGCATCTACATCTGTATCTGACGCAACGTGTCAGACAGAGGAGTCAACTTCACTTGCTATTGAATGGAAATGTAAAGGTGACAAAGGCACAATAAGCCAGCTTCAGTCCATGCCAGCTTTGCTCTGTCCCAGTGCTGTAGGTGGTCAACACTCACATGGATGCAGCTGTCATACAGGTGCCAGGTTCACACATGATGCTTAGCCATGGCTAATGTAAGCTAAGGTTTATAAACTTACAATGAACTACGGCTTACGACCATGGTATGTTTGTGAATAGCAAACCATGGTTAAGCTGCTGGCCAATGCTAAACCGTGGCTTTGCATTACATGCAATTGAGGCCAGTGAGTTTTGAGGTAGCTAGCACAGGTAATGAGGCCCCAAAAAGCCTCAATATGACTCAAAGAAGTTGTATAACTTGTACATAGAATCATAGAATCATAGAGTTGGAAGAGACCACAAGGGACATCGAGTCCAACCCCCTGGCAAGCAGGAAACACCATCAGAGCACTCCTGACATATGGCTGTCAAGCCTCTGCTTAAAGACCTCCAAAGAAGGAGACTCCACCACACTCCTTGGCAGCAAATTCCACTGTCAAACAGCTCTTACTGTCAGGAAGTTCTTCCTAATGTTTAGGTGGAATCTTCTTTCTTGTAGTTTGGATCCATTGCTCCGTGTCCGCTTCTCTGGAGCAGCAGAAAACAACCTTTCTCCCTCTTCTATGTGACATCCTTTTATATATTTGAACATGGCTATCATATCACTCCTTAGCCTCCTCTTCTCCAGGCTAAACATGCCCAGCTCCCTTAGCTATTCCTCATAAGGCATTGTTTCCAGGCCTTTGACCATTTTGGTTGCCCTCCTCTGGACACGTTCCAGTTTGTCAGTGTCCTTCTTGAACTGTGGTGCCCAGAACTGGACACAGTACTCCAGGTGAGGTTTGACCAGAGCAGAATACAGTGGCACTATTACTTCCCTTGATCTAGATGCTATACTCCTATTGATGCAGCCCAGAATTGCATTGGCTTTTTTAGCTGCCGCGTCACACTGTTGGCTCATGTCAAGTTTGTGGTCAACCAAGACTCCTAGATCCTTTTCACATGTACTGCTCTCAAGCCAGGAGAGTTTGAGCCAAATACTGATAATTGGAATGCTTACTTCTTGGTGCCAAAGGAGGCTAATCATTTCAGAAAATTAGGAGCAGCAGTCCTTTGAACTCTTTCCAAGCAGAGGAACATTTAACCAGTCTCACTTCTCCAGAATTTTAAACCTATTACTTCTTGCTAAGATATGAATCACTTTCTCTCACCTCCAGTATTCAGCACACATACGGTGCGCACTGAATTCCTTTTAGAAGTCTCTTCTTCTTTTGTGCTCAGATTTAATACTTAATGTTGGCATAAACTATGATAATACACTGGCCATGATACATCACAGTTAATTGTGTTTAAGGCAATTGAATTCTCTAAGCTTCGCTTAGTGACCCTATCTGTGTGCTAGACGCTGGGCATTGCTGTGACCACTTTCGTGGGACTGCAGGTTACTTACCACAAATGCAATGTGGCTTTATTTACATTGTCCCTTTAGAGTGCATCCCTAACCCGCTAATGATGGTGCTTGGGGGCTTAGGATATCATCACTCTCAGCTGGTGGAATGGAGCACCACTAGTGGGGAGCTCTGCCACAGCAGAAGTCTCAGTCTTGGAGATGGGTCAGCACTGCCTGCTGTTCTGCTGGCAGTAGCCAGTGGAAAGCCCGACATGGGGGCATTGGGGTACCATAAGGCCATATCCTCAGACCCCTCAACAACACTAGTGTGGAACTGACATTGCAATTAAAAAAACAACAACAACTGCTTCCCACCTTCTATCCTGAACAGTGTGACTGACCAGTGGTTAATCTGCTGTTGCACTCTGCCCTGCTGCTGTTGTTTGTTAGAAAATATTTACCAAGAAATATAAATTGAAAACCCCTTTCTGCAAGAATTATTTTCTGTTTTTAAGCTTTGACAAGCCTGTGCTCTCCAAAAAGTCAGCCTGTGCCCTCCCCCCCACCAAGTAATTTCCAAGCGTCAATAAACCCCCTCAAATGGCATGTGGTACGCCATGATGGGTGCAGCAGGATAAGGAGATCATGAGTCTACAGCAGGGCTGTATTGCAAAACCAAACAAGCAAAAATTAAAATAAGATATGGGCATCTCCATTCCCAAGCAATGGGAATGAAAAGTGCTCACACAGGACACCTTGAGATCCAAGTACCATTTAAAAGGTACATTTCATTTCACTAAGTACCATTTTTTTATATATATATATTTGTGGAGCAATGAAAACATGTCATACCATCCTTCCTTTAAAATATAACACTCATAATTCAGAGAGCTCTCCGTTGTCCTAGTTTGATGTTGTATATGTCAACTTTGAAAGTTACTGTTCCATAAATATTTTTAGTAGCCCACTTTTCTGTACATACATGTGTTTGCCATTTCTAGTGCATTAGTAGCCTAGATGCTTAAAGAGACCAACTCTTTCTAGTAGTACTGCTGATTTTCTAATATAAGGGATCCATGAAGTGGACTTCCTCAGTTTAAAGTATGGCACACCATTGCAAATGACACTCAAATCTTTCCAGGAAATGGAGTTCCAATTTAATCCAGTTAGGAAGAGCTTCCCTGCCTGGTCACCCATGTACAATTCTCACTTGCCACAGGTGGTCAGGTCACTTAACAAGTCTCTAGAATGCTCAGAAATATATCTCCTGCTACTGCTATTCTTGGCTATATGCCATATTTAAGGGCTGTTGACAGATAGATACAATTGGTGGCATCGTAGGGCACTTGTGGCAATCAAGAGGTTAATACTCAGGCCCTGGAAGGCCACGACTTCAACTGGCCTAGATGACTGGCATGAAAAAATGTTAGAACTGACAGTGTGGGGATGTGTAATGTTCTGCAGGCAAGGAACAGCAGACGGGGGGTGGGAAGATTGAGGATGATAAATATTGGTCAACATTCTCTAGATTTCCATGGAAAGTATTATATGGGGCACAAATTCAGCTACAAACATCAAGGTTTCAGCTTTGGTTTATAATCTCTGTTGCAACAGAAACTGTGATAATGCAAAACCCAAAATTTGATTTTCTTGAAAGAAAACATCTCAAATACCAATTTTCCTCCAGAGTGTTACAATGAATAATTAAATATCAAAATAGCTTTATTAGGTGAAACTAACACTCCTCTAAGTTCAGCATCTTGTATTGACAATGTTTACTTTTGAATGTTTCAGGATTGTATTACAGCAGAGGGCATAGATAGAGGACATCACTCCCTATTGTTTATTCCCAACTTTCAAGAGCAACTTCTTTCTGCCAGAAAAAAGTTACTTTTCAGCTTCAGTTTTTCCAATCCAGTGACTTGCATCACCCGATTTTCTCTCTCCTTCCCAACGCCATTACTTTCCTGAGCTTCAAACCACTCACATCCTCTGTATGCCACTGTGAAATTTCATCAGAGAGATTTCCAGTAGGAACCTTTTGTGAGTTGTTATTTTCACATAAAATATACTTTAGAGCCTTCGTGTTTGGTTTGGAAACTTTGCAAAGAGACTGTCAACCATAAGAAGATATAGATTGGGGTAAGGAAAGGGTGGGGGGGGGGGACGTAGATTGACACACTAGTCAGGTGTATTGTAAAAATTCTCCCAGAAATAGCAGCTGCAGAAATGTCAATGCTGGGCTCACCCATCAGAGAATCGCCAAGGGAACAGGTATCAACTGTGGTATAAGGTGCAAGCTGCTCTAGCTCCAGGTTTTGGGGGGCCCTTTGCCTAGGGACCTCCCATGGACCACCACTACAAATATTTATGGGTTCCACTTTTCTGTCCATTCATTTTCACACTGTCTGGGGCCAGCATGTGCTAATGTCCAACCAGACCAAGATAAAAAGAAGGAAAGAACAAAGGAAGCAGAGAATGCTGTTTCATCTCCTCACTCTTGTCATGGTTTTCATACCTGAACAGGAAGGAGAAAAATGAGGAGGGCCAGGAAGCTCCAGAGAGTGGCAGCAGACCCCTTAATTCTGGAATGCCTTCCTTGGCAATGATTACTCCTTTCCCACGTAAGATCTCTGCATTTGCCTGTCTCCAGGGTAGGGATGGGCAAAGCCTTTCACTTTCACTTTCTCTCTGTTTCTCCTGTTTAAGTTCACTTCATTATATCTCCACATTAGTTTGTGATTTTTTTTAAAAAAATCATGAAAATTCATAAGCATTTCAGTGGGAATTTATCTCTAATATACGCAGCTTTGAAAAGCAATTTGTCCTAATACATTGGTCTTCCACTAGTGCATTGGGAGCAACTAGTGGGACACTACCTGATCCAAGGTGGGTCACAAGTAGAGCACTACCAACATGTAAATATATGGTAAAATATTTTTAAAAAATGGGTCCTCAAATGCATGTTTGGGTTAAAAGTGGGTCTGCAATAATTGAAGATACCTTCTCTAATATAATGCATTTTGTATGCTATTTTTATGAAGATATGTATTGTTATGCACACTTAACCGAGTATACATGGCTGGAGAACTGTATTGCAAAATTCAGAGAAGTGAAAATTTCAAGAATGGCTGCATTGTAATTCACATATTGTTTTGGAACATGCAAATTTGGTAAAGTCATTGTTAAATGCAAACTAAATCAAAGTTCTGCTCCGTCCCTACTACAGAGGAACAATAGTCACTAAGGTTTCATCTTATCCTATCCATAAAGGAATTATCAGGAACTTGATCACTGCTTTCAAGTCCCCATTTAGAAATAGGCTTATTGTGAGGGATATTTCCCTTTCTGGACCTCACCCCCCACAAGAGTAGTAAGAACAAAGGGGAAGAGAGTTTTACCTATCATTGGAACACCCAGTATGACACTGGATATGTCAAAAAGACATATTTGCATATCATTAAGAGTGACAGATTGCTGGCTACTGTGTAATTTGGAGAGAGGTATTTGATGAAGTAGCAGGCATTGTAGCTTTTTCTTATAGTGAAATAGAAAGCCAATGAATACAAAAAAGAGACATCTGTAAGTAACTGTAGGTTGGCCATGTGCGGCCTATATATAGCCACCATTATTTCAGCTTTGCCTATTTGCATTTTACCCATCATCAAAATGGTCCTATTGATTGTAAATCATTTTTCAACCCAAGAGAGTTTTAACTAGAGTGAAATGAAACCACTACCATTGCTTCTAAATAAACCCTTTTCTGCCAGAAACTTGTAAGTGGTCAAAGGGGGAATTAGTGCCTAGTTAGAAATTAAGTTCTAATCAAAAGTCCATGTTGTATTCAGCCAGAATGCCAGGGTTAACAGCTTTTCTCTTGCATAAAGTGTATTTGCATCTTTAATGACAATTTGACAGGAAGTTTTCAGTGCTACATGTTGTACAACAGAGGGATGATAACATTGATGGATCATTGGGAACAAGGTTACAATAACTTTCACTGAGACTAAGGCTGTGGTGTTGAAATCTGCTCCTGAGAAAGATGTCTCCATTTTTCTGCCTCATTCTCATGATTTCTTTAAACTTCATGAATGCAGACTTTTGAGTTTACCTGATCATTGTGCAGTTCTCAGGAGCCTCCCTAACTACTCACACTTCCCAATATGAAAGAAGTCCAATGGGAGTAGTTACTGCAAGATGTCACTCCAGGGCTTTAAGTGTAGTGCACCTGAGAAGGTTGAGAGACTAAAGACCACTGGTGAGATGGTGCGCTGAATGAATGAAAGGTTGCTGGTGGCTCCTTCACAAGCACCTTCCACACAAGGAAGGCACTTGTGAAGCAGTGCCGAGCAAGGTTGAAACCTTCTGCTTGCAGTGTGGCTAAGAAAGGGGCATGAGATGCAGCTTCTCCTTCTCCCACATCCCTCATAACTATATGTACAATTAGGGTTTAAAAACCCTAATTAATATTAGCCTTACCCCAGGTCTGGATCTGGGAAGATGTTCTGGATTTGGGGAGATGTTCCCCAGGATAGCACACTTCAGGGACCCTGTGCTGACAGGGGTGGGGGGCTGTACACAACCTAATATTGAGGGGTTTCATTTTTTGAGGAAGTAGCACAATTCTAGACAGACCATTTCATTGGCCTTAGGAAATTGGGGGGGGATGCTTTTTCTCGTAGCACTCCATTTTTTAACTGGCACACCACAGACACAACACCAGTGAACCACAGGCTGAGATTAGACATTGAATCTTGAGGAAGGGAAATGGTCCACCATCAGATAACAAGCAGTGAAGCAGAAGCTCCCCCATCCTGTTTCATTCCAAATGATGATGAACGCTTGGAGAGCACCTCTTCCCGTATCTCTCTTCCCTGCTTTCTGAGAGGCTTGATTAGTATGTGAGGTACAAATATGACCCTCTCTTGCTTGTTATCTTTTCAAAGAGCACAAATGTTTTTCATTTGCTGTGTTTTCCCTTGAGGGACATTTTGTAACTTGATTCTGAACAGCAATGCCTATTTGTAATATCATTAACGGTGTCTGCATTTTAAAAAAATATCTTCTGTTTCTTTGTCCTTTAAAATAGCAGACATGGCTAAATAAACACGTTCTTCTTCTTTCAGCTTCACACAAGCTCATTTGCTATAGTTAAGGTAGGTAGCTGTGGTGGTCTAACGCATTTGAAATAAAATTTTTTTAAAAAAATTGTCCAGTAGCACCTTAGAGACCAACTAAGTTTGTTCTGGGTATAAGCTTTCGTGTGCATGCACACCTCTTCCGATACCTGAGGTTGATGGACTTCCATTTCATGTGGCTCAATGAGGTGCCTTCCATGATTCTAGATTCGGGTAGGTAGCTGTGTTGGTCTGACACAGTCAAAATTAATAAAAATAAATAAAAAATTGTGAGGTTGATGGACTTCCATTTCATGCAGCTCTGAATAAGTGTGCATGCACACGAAATCCAGAACAAACTTAGTTGGTCTCTAAGGTGCTACTGGACATTTCCCCCCCCCGACTTGCTATTGTTAAGTTATTCTTCATCAACCAGTCCTGCCTTCCTGTCCCTCATTTTGCTATCCTGATACTTGAATAATCCTCCTCTATCACCATCCTTAAGAAAAGTGTCATCTTCATGCATTTCAGCATGCTCTTCTTACCTAAGACACAATCCTATGTCAACTAGAGTGGCTACTCATATGTCCTCCCACGCCCCAATAAAAGCATAACCCAAACCAGGACACTAATCTGCATACAATTTGCATATGCTAATTAATATATGAACCTGAACTTTGATAGGATTACTAGAATTTAAATAAAAACACACTGTGTATCAACCATGGCATGGGAGGCAATGACAAGGTGTGGCCTCTGTGCCTGCTCAGTCTGCTTTCCAGGTGCCTCATATTTCAATTGGAAACCCCTTCAAATAGAGTTCAATTACAAATAGAGACTGCCTTCTGTAAAGGAGGACACATGGCCACTCTACTGCCTACTCAAAGGTAATTCGTCCTGAATTCAGTGGGGTTTACTCCCAGGTAAATGTTTAGCATTGTAGTCTTACAGCACAATCCTAACCATGTCCCCTCAGAAGGAATTCTTGCTGAATTCACTGGGGTTTACTTCCAGGCAAGTGAGGTTAGTATTGCTTCTTTAATTGCCATATCCTCTAGGTATATTTTTGTCCCCTTTATTCTCTTTTTGGGGGGGTGTGTGTGTGTGTGTGCTATGTGTGCCATAAATGTGAAGGCAGCTGAGATTTCCACATAACATGGAACATTATCTCTGTGCACTTGGCCACTGTCTCTCTACACATCCAGCATCTAAGTGGTCTACCTCAGGTTTTCAGGGCCATCTTTAAAGTTCCGATGCGCCTGAAGCGAGAGGAGATAACAGCAAACCAAACAGGGTCAGAGTTGCCTAACAGAGGGGGGTTTGTGGAGGGCTTTTTTTTTATTTTAAATTAAAAATGAAGCTTTAACACTTCAGTACAGAGGAAAGGTGTTAGGCGAAGAACCTCTCTGTGTCACGATGTTTGGCAGTGATGCTATTAACGTTACTGATGTGCCATGTGTAGTAAGCCAGAGGCACAAAACTGCATCTGTATGGGCAACACCGGCAGACATTTTACATTTAAAGGGACAGAAGTGACTTTTGGTGGGAGACAAATGAGCTCAAAGAATACTTGCCCCTATCCGTGCCCCTTCCATTTGGTGTCCCAAGTGGACACTTGTTTAGAGTTCCCCTAAGGCTGACCCTGCAGCTAAAGTATGTACAGAACAAGCCTGCCTACTGTATGAAAAGGAGGACCAGAGGGTTCAGGCCCCTAATCAACAATGACATTTCTGTTTCCTGACACTGCAGAATGAGAAACAAGGGGTCATGCAACCTAGGAAACTCAAATGCAAACCTGCCAATTAAGAAAAACTTATAGTTAGAAGGAATGTCACAAGAAGGGAGACACAAACACACATTAAGGGGGAAGGGAAGCACTTGTAA